CCATATGATATCACCTATAAGTGGAACCTAATCAACAAAACGGACAAGCAAGGAAAATATAACCAACAACATAGAAAGAAAAAGAAACCGACAGTGGAGTGAGGGAAGGAGGGAGTGGGATAATGGGGAAAGAAAGGGGAAGGGTCAAATCAAGGAACATGTATGAAGGAAACATGGACAAAGCCAAAGTGGGGAAGGATTGAGGGAGTGAGGTTGGGGTGGGTGGGACAAGGGGAAAGTGGTGGTGGGAAAATGGAGACAAATGTATTTGAACAATTGAAAAAATAATAGCAAATGTGAAAACAATAATGTATCATTCTGTGGGGGGGGGGAAATAAATAAGGTCTAGTACTAGGAAATAAATTCTAGAAAAAAGAAAGCAGGATGTCTCGGCGAGGTTACAACCCAGTGTATAGGGCATAAGTGAACAGATGGTTTTGTAGTTGTGATAGAATGGAGATACTGGGAAAAATATGAGAACTCAAGGTCAGGGGGTCTTATTTGGCCAACTAGAGGCTTTCTCAAAGCAGTAGTAAACTAAGTGGGGAAGAGGGTTACATTCACACACCATTCACTTTATACATACCAAAGAAATAGCACTTTAAAGACATTACTTTGGGTGCTTGTGTACTTACTAATTTGCTGTTTCTCAGAGATAACTTTTTAAACAATTGATTTAGATTATCGATAGTCATACATAATTATACAGTTATTCACCAATTCTGTACTTTTGCATTTGCCCACTAACATCTATTTAATCCTGAAATCAAGTACTTTGGGTGCTTTTCAGTGTTTTTTTTTTTCAGATACGAACATGGGCAGAGCAGCAAAAAGAAAAAAAAATTGAGTCATGTTTCTGGCTGAGGTCCAACAAGGCAATGCTTACTGAGCCTTATTATTTCAATTCTCATATTGTAAACAAGTCTTTGTAGAGTAGTAGTATATTTTTCCTTTTTTTTTTTTTTTTGCATTTTTTGTTGGTGATTTCACTGTTTAAAGAAATGTTTTAGTGTAGTGCCGATATGCTGTCCAAATTGGACATAGAACATGGGAAGGCTGTGATGTGTCTTATGGAGAGAATGTACATAGTAGATAAGCTTTATTCAGGAGTGAGTTGTAGTGTTATTGGCCTTGAGTTCAATGTTATATTAACTAAGTTATCATTAAGCAGAAACACACATAAAACAAGGTTAAATATCAATGAGTTGACTTACCTCTGCATTTCCATTAGGGGCAATGATTCAGTATTCACTAATTCAGCGTCTGCAGCAACTTTATAGAACATAACCGTGGCTAATAATGAATTGAGTATTTTCAGGGTAAATTTGATTTTGGGAAACAGCCAAAGTTATTTATAGCTGGGACAGTATAAAGGTATGGTTATTAAAGTCTTTTTCAAGCTTTTAATCACATTCCTGCCCCCTTTTGATAAAGATCTTACTTCACTCTTCTAAATATTCTAATATATTTTCCTTAGTAGACACAGACAGGTTGAGAATTAGTTTACAAGGTTTATTTTACCATTAGCCAGGCTGATGTCCTTTATTTATTTATTTGTTTGTTTGTTTGTTTATTTAGGCTGATGTTCTGTAGTGAAAGCTGAGTATATATAGTAAAAACTATATTTTTTAAAACGTTTGCTAGATATAATAAAATTGTATTGTGTTTAGTGGTTTTTGGGTTTTTTTTAAATTTTTATTTTTTAGTCTGCCCTCTTATTCCAGTCAAGAATAACTTGTATAAAGCGGAGGTTGGCAGACATTTTCTGTTAGGAGCCAGACAGTGAATCTTTATGTTTTGTGGGCCATGCAGTCTTTGCTACTACTACTCAACTCTGCCACTGTATAGTGAAAGCAGCAATAGACAATAGGTATTACTTTACATGTTTATAAACTCCTTTAGAGCAGGGATCATGCCTTATATTGATGTATCCTTCATGACACATAACACAGTAGGTTCTCAATAACTGTTGCCTTGACTTGCTGATTTTGCCTAGATTATTAAAAGGCTATATTTTAAAATATTAAAAACTCAAGCAATTGAAACCCATCCATTTAAAATTGAATTATTTTAGAAATCCTATAAATGTCCTTCTTTAAGCAATTACAGTAGTTGGTGCTAATTGTATTTGGAATTAGTCAGTCAATGGCCTAATTTAATAGTAATTGGTGAATATTAAAGAACATGATGGCTTATTTTTATACATGTCCTAGTACATTTAGTAGGTTTCAATAAAGTCTTTGATACATAGTTTTGACAATAACTGTGGATTTAATTATTTTTAAGTATATTTTATTGATTATGCTATTGCAGTTGTCCCATTTTTTTCTCCCCTTTGTCCCCCTCTGCCTGGTACCCCCAGCATTCACTCCTCCTTTGTTCATGTTCATGGTTCATACATATGTTCTTTGGCTTCTCCATTTCCTATATTATTCTTAACCTCCCCTTCTATTTTGTACCTACCAGTTATGCTTCTAATTCCCTGTATCTTTTCTCCCATTCACCCTCTCTCCCCTCACCACTAATAATCTTTCATGTGCTCTCCATTTCGGTGATTCTGTCCCTGTTCTAGTTGTTTGCTTAGTTTTTGGGGTTTTTTTGTTAGGTTCAGTTGTTGATAGTTGTGAGTTTGTTGTCATTGAACTGTTCATAGTTTTGATCTTCTTTTTCTTAGATAAGTCCCTTTAACATTTCATATAATAAGGGCTTGGTGATAATGAACTTCTTTAACTTTACCTTGTCTGGAAATCACTTTATCTGCCCTTCTATTCTAAATGACAGCCTTGCTGGATAGAGTGATCTTGGACATAGGTCCTTGCTTTTCATGACTTTGAATGATTCTTACTGGTCTCTTCTTGCCTGCAAGTTTTCTTTTGAGAAATCAGCTGATAGTCTTGTGGGAACTTCTTTGTAGGTAACTCTCTTCTCCTGCTGCTTTTAATATTCTCTTTTTATATTTAATCTTTGGTGTTTTAATTTCATGTGTCTTGGTCTGGCCCTCTTTAGGTCCAACTTGTTTGGGACTCTCTGGGCTTCCCAGGCTTGTATGTCTATTTCCTTCACCAGATTGGTGAAGTTTCCTTTGATTAATTTTTCAAATAAGTTTTCAATTTCTTGCTCTTCTTCTTCTCCTTCTGGCACCCCTATGATTTGGATGTTGGTACATTTAAAGTTGCCCCAGAGGTTCCTAAGCCTGTCCTCATTTTTTTTGGATTCTTGTTTCTTTATTCTGTTCTGGTTGAATGTTTATCTCTTCTGTTTGTTCCAAATTGTTGATTTGAGTCCCAATTTCCTTCCCCACTGTTGGTTCCCTGTATATTTTTCTTTATTTCACTTTGTATAGCCTTCACTTCTTCCTTTATTTTGCAGCCATACTCAATCATTTCTGTTAGCATCCTGATTACCAGTGTTTTTGAATTCTGCATCTGATAGGTTGGCTATCTCCTTGTTGATTAGTTCTTTTTCTGGAGTTTTAATCTGTTCTTTCATTTGGACCATATTTCTTTGGACACACCTGTTACATTGTAAGAGGTGGAGCCTTAGGTATTCACCAGAGTGCAGCAACCCACATTGCTGCGTTGTGGGGCTGTATGTGGGGGAGGGGTCAAAAGGAAACAATGCCACTTGCTCAGCTCTCACTCAGCTTTTAGTCCCATCCCCAACTTCCCGTAAGTGAATGACACCCTTCCAGGTGCTGCCCTGGTGCTGATTCCTGGATGGGTCGACTTTGTATGTTCTAGGACCCCATGGGCCCCTCACACGGACTCTCCTGAGAGACCAGCAGTTTCTTCTGCTGCTGCCACCCCCACAGATTTTTACAGCCAGAGGTTATAAGGCTTTAATTTTCCTAGTGTTGGCACCCTGGGTTGTGCGGTCTGCCCTGGACTGGGATTGCTTACTTCCCAGTTAGTCCTCCTGGTTTTTATCCATACATGAATGTAGGACCACCTGGTCTGTCAGCTGCCACCTCAACGCATGCCCTCTCCATCGTGGCTGCCTGTCTCTGTCCCTTCTACCAGTCTGGATAAATGTTTCTTCTTTATCTCCTTGGTTGTTGGACTTCCATACAGTTCAATTTTCTGACACTTCTGGTTGTTTCTTGTTCTTAAATTGGTTGTTATCCTTTTGGTTGTGTGGGGAGGTAAAGCATATCTGCCTGTGCCACCATCTTGTGGTTTAATTATTATGCCTTCATGGATGCAATGTATTGTAAAGGTAATTTTTAGTTAAGGTTAGGTACGATTTAAATTGAAAGAAGTTATTTGAGTTGTAAATAGTTGGATGATTATACAAACTTGCTAGATAATCAGTTTATTGTTTGGCTAAGAGCCTACAAACTTTTTTAAACAGCAACCTATTCCTCTCCTTTCCTGCCTCATGTCTATGGTACAGACTTTTTTTTTCCTGTTAATACTTATTATGTGGGGCTGTTGGTTTCACTTTGGCCACAGAGTACTCCCTCTCTCTGGCCAGCCAATTAAGTTTTCCATGTGATTATGATACCCTCCCTGGCTACTTGTGAGAGAAGATACTTAAGAAAAGAATAAAGTGAAAAATCACACAAATTCCTCATTTCCTAGGGTTCCTTTTACTTTTAAGGTTCTGAAAGTATTTATGGAGTGAGCATGTGTAAACAGAGCTAGTCCCAACTGCTTTCTCTTCTTAATGTAAAGTATCATTTCAAAAATTCCTCACAGGTATCTTTTTCTGGTAGATGAAAAATAGAATACTATTTTACTTTATTTTTCAACTTTGAGATGTAACTCATATTTAAAATTTAATTCACAATTGAAATTATAATTCACATTTTTTAAAATGTATCATAGAATCACTTGAAGCCTATATATTTTATTAATCAATGCCACCCCAAAAAATTTAGTTTAAAAATTATAAGATATTTAAAGTGTACATTGAAATAATTTGATATATGTATACACTGTGAAAGGATTCCTCCCCTCCAGTTAGTTAACACATCCACCACTCCATATATTTATCTTTTTAAAAATAGGGAATGCTTCATGAATTTGCATGTTATCCTTGCATGAGGGCCATACTGATCTTCTTTGTATTGTTTCAATTGTAGTATATGTGTGACTGAAGCAAGCACTGCAGTAATATTTTATAAGTAAAAATAAACTTTCCTTAGAGTTCATCTGTTAAGATTTTGTTTCCCCTAAATGTACATGTGAGAGATGCATATGTGTGATACACTTCAGTTCATAGATTGAGGTTTCTGAAAAATTGGATTGCAGCACTGTTGATGAGAAGGAACCTCTAGATCTGTACTGTCTGATAGAGCAGTCACTAACCACATGAAGCCATTAAGTACCTGAAATGTGGCTATCTGAATTGAAATACTGTGTGAAGCATAAAATTCATACTGAATTCTGGAGACTTAGTATAAAAACAAGAATGTAAAATAGCTTACTAATAATTTTTATATTGATTACATGTTGCAATGAAAATGCCTTGGGCTAAATAAAATACATAATTAAAATTAATTTCATTTTTTAAAATCCTTACCCAAGGGTATAGTCATTGATTTTAAGAGAAAGAGGAAGAGGGGGAGAGAGAGAAAGAGGTGAGAGAGAAACATCTGTTGGTTGCCTCCCATACGTGCCACAACTGGGGATCAAACCCGCAACCTAAGTATGTGCCCTTACTGGGAATTGAACCTGCAACCTTTTTTGGTGTATGATATGACACTCCAACCAATGAGCCACACTGGCCAGGGCAATTTCACATTTCTTTATACCTGTATTAAAGTGTGGATTCTAGAAATGTTTAAATTATATACATGTTTTTCATTTGTAGCTTGCTTCATATTTCTGTTGGACAGTGCAGCTCTATATTATGTGATCTTTCAATATAATCAAAGTGTATAATCAAATATCAATTTATAAGATCCACTTAAAATGACCTAGTAATTTTATAGTTTCTTTTTGCTCTCTTATTCAATATGGAAAAGTACGTAGATAACACTTTATTTTAATTGATCCCAAAATACTAAGAAAGTATGAGATGAGCTTACAGTACATTCACTAGTCTGCTAGTAAGTTTTTCAGTGACTTGTAAAAGAGGGTAAGAAGGGCAAGTTGTTCAGTGCTATTTTATTAGGATACATTTTATTTATTTATTTTTAAAGATTTTATTTATTTATTTTTAGAGAGAGAGGAAGGGAGGGAGAAAAAGAGGGAGAGAAACATTGATAGATGGCCATTTTCACTCCCCGCCCTCAACCAGAGACCTGGCCCACATCCCAGCTATGTGCCCTGACAGGGAATTGGACCAGCGAGCTTTTGGTCGGTAGGATGACACCCAACCCACCGAGCCACACCAGTCAGCTCAGAATACATTTTAATACCACAGAATAAAGCAAGTTCTATACTTCCAAAAAGGAAATGATTTTTGTAAAGCATAAAATATTTGATACCTGGCTATCTCCAGATAACTTTAGTAATTTTTATAAACTTATTAAAGCAATTTTATATTATCTTTTTATTTTGAGAGTATATTTATTAAAACTGGACAGTGAAACAAGGAAGGACTTAGGATAGAAGAAGCAATTAGAGCCTAGGCGGGGCTGCTTTGGCTCTCTAGAAATGTTGTAGGAAAGAAAAAAAGCCTATGTGGGGCTACTTTGGCTCACTATAAAGTCAGAGTAAAGGGGCCTTGGGCGCAGGTTCAGGGGTTAGCCTGGGATGAGCTGCCAATGCCCCCTGCTCTCCTGGTTGCAAGTCTTGTGGGGAACCTTAGAGTTTAGGAAATGCATGCCTGAGAGGAAAGAAAGACATGGGTGTATGCTCCAGGGGGAGAGAGTGCTATTTTATCAGTTGTTAAAAACATGTATTTAAAAAAATTCTTGTTATATTCACCTGAGAACATTTTTTTCATTGCTCATAGAGAGAGAGGAAGGGAGAGAGAAAGGGAGAAAGAGAGAGATATCAAACACTGGCCTCCCCCATGTTCTGGAACTGGGAGTCAAACTTGCAACCCAGGCATATGCTCTGACTGGTAGTCGAGCTTGCAACTTTTCAGTTATAGAACGACATTCCAACCAACCAAGCCACACCAGCCAGGGCTAAATTTTTCTTGAATTTTATTTTAAATATTTTTTTGTTAAGACTATTAAGTAAAATTAAATGTGTACATTTTATTATAGTGCTATAAATTATAATGTGCTATAGCATAAAATCAAGCAATGACACGGTATCAAAACTTGAACACTTTGGGAAATACTAATTTAACTGTAGTGATAAAGTATTGGGAAATTTAGATGATAAAGACAATTAGTGCAAGGAGAATTATAAGTGATAAAGCTCTTCTTCCTATCAACCTTTTTAGGTTAGTTTGACATCTTTTACTGGTGCTCTTGGACGCTTACAAATGTTAATGAAACTTTGTTAAGAATGCTTTACATTACTGCGAAAACAAAAAAAAAGTAATTTCACTAGCTTCAAAACAAATTGGCAGTAAGAAATGGAGCTAGCTTTTAACATTTGTTTCAAAGACCTAATGAATTAGCACTTTTTGAAGAACATGAAAGAGCAGTCATTAAGCAAAAAAGAAAAAATAGACTTTCAAAACTATCTAACCATAATTTTTTTTTGGTCAGCTTCCTAAGGAGAGTCTTCTAAATCCTTTAAGCTGACCAGTCTTTTTGCTATATCAAATACACTTTAGGCTCTTTTGCCTGTGGGCTTCGTGTTCTTGGTCCAAATTGCAGACCCCTGCTCCCAACCTTGCTTTCTTTCTTTCTAAATTCTATCAGTCTTTCAAGATATCCTGCTCACATTTCTCTTTCCTGAAACCTTTCCTACCCCCATCACTCCAGCCCAGGCATGAGCATGTAATTAACATTTACATAGTATTGTACTTTTTATAATTCCATTTCACATATTTTCTTTTTTTATGTCATTCTAATGAGGTAGATGATGTTATCCATTTTATAGGAGAAATGCATTGAGGCTGAGCGAAGTAAGTGATTTTTTCAGAACTACGTAGATACTAAATAGCAAAGCTAAAAATGCTGGAACCAAATCTTCCAGCCTTCATGCTCTTTCCTTCTTGATGACCCCTTAACTCCTATAATAGGTACATAACACCTAATTGGCCATTAATTGATTAAGTGTTTATTGTCTTTATTTTAAACTTATTAGCTGTAGACTTGAAGGAATATGTACAATATGTTGGGAAAGAGAATAAATGGGAGAGCTGAATAATATTTCTTTTTGATAAAGAATCAAAGAGGTCATTAACATCTCTTTACAGCCCATTTGCTAAAACATTCACCTTTTAAAAAGCATGATACCCACACTTGCTCCTTTTCCTCTAGCCAAAATAATTACCTATCTTAGTGCCAAATTTTTAGTATAATTTTTAACTCACAGCTGAACAGCCCCGGTTGGTGTGGCTCGGTTGGTGTGGCTCAGTTGGTTGGTGCATCATACGGTAACTGAAAGGTTGTGGGTTTGTTTCCTGGTCAGGGCATATACATAGGTTGTGGGTTCATGTCTAGTCTGGATGTGGGCGCATGTGACCCTGAGACCTGATGCTTACTGTCCCTGGTCTGGGCACATAGGGGAGGCAGCCAATCTGTGCTCCTCTCTCTTTTCCTTTCTCCCTTCCTCTCTCTCTTAAAAAACAAACAAACAAACAAACAAAAAAACCAATGAAAAATGTCCTCAGGTGAGGATTTAAAAAAAAAAATAGCAGAGCTAAACAGAGAAGCCTTCCCTGACCACGTTGGCTAAAGTAGCTGCTCTCTGTCAATATCTGTCTTAGCAACATTTAAAACATTAAAAAACTTTAAGCTATTTGAAATATTTCTTTATTACTCGTTGCCTTCTCCCACTAGAATATGAGTTGAATGAGAGCAAGGATGTTGTCAATCTAGTTTATAGCACAAAGCACTCAGTAAATATTTGTTGAGTGATTGAGATACTTTATGAAAACTGTTCACTATGACATTTATCTTTTAAAACAAGTTTTTGTTAGACCATCAAATAGTACAAAATGGGCATGCAAATTCTGTTTACTGCCTAATTCCACATACAAGTCCAAATTACTATAATTACTTAAAGAAAAACATTTATAGTTAAGAAACAGGATTTCTAGAATAATTTAATTTTAAATAGTGGTGGGTTTAAGCTCATGAAGACACTTGCTTTAAGTTTATTCTTATGACTTATAACCTAGACAGTATAAGAAATGAATTTCTTCAAAAGTTTCTTACATATTTTCTCTAAAGTTGTATTTGTAACCATGCCAAAACTTTTAGGTATTGTAACTTATGCTCAAAGTCTGAAGCCTTTTCACAGGAATGAGAATTTAGAGTCTGAGTTCCAAACTTACAATCAAGACATTTGCTATAAGGAATCTATGATAATGATGCCTTTTAGTGCTTGAAGGCATTTTAGGAAAGTACAGTCATCCCCTGGAGGTTTGGTCCCATGACACCCCTGGAAACCAAAATCAGTGGATGCTCACATCTCTAGTAAAAAATGGCGTAGTATTTGCATTTAAACTATGCACATCCTTGTGTGGACTTTAAATCATATCTAGATTACTTATAATACTTAATACAATGTAAATACTATGTAAATTGTTATACTGTATGTATTGTTTAGGGAATAATGACAATTAAAAAAACTATGTACATGTTTACAAGCATTGTAAACCTAATTATATAATACATGTCAGCAACAATATAATTTCTTCTTCCAAATATTTTTGATCCACAGTTTGTTGAATTCACAGATTTGGAACCCATGGATCTGGATGGCTGACTAGAACATGTAGAGGTAAGATATAGTCTATTATTAAATCGCCAGTAGTTTGATTATATGTAATCACTTAGATATTATCTAAAAAGTAGGCCAAATATTAGAACAGATACAGCCTATTACTCCTTAAGTTTATGTTAACATTGTAAGAATATCATAGCTCACTAGTAGATTGCTAGTTATAGAAGAGCTCTTTGAATTATTTTTAAAAAATTCAATATCAGATGTGTGCATATATATAGATTACATATGAGAAAGCATATGGAAGTATTTGATAAACTATATTGTACAAATGTTATTTTTATGGGGAAGACATAGGATAGTTATTTTTTAACACTGCCTAAGTGATTCAAACTCAGAGATAAAGGTCTGAAATGGAACATGTAGGAGGCATGGTCTTCAAGGATGCCTGAGTTTTAGGGGGCTGATTCTGGTATTTACATTAATGTTTTATACCCTGGGACAAGTGTAATAGCATAAACAATAAAATATAGTTTAAAAAAATAAATATAAATCACTTTTTATTGATTACAAGTTGAAAAGGTAATATTTTGGATCTACTGGATTAAATAAAATAGATCATTAAAATTAAAAAAGGTTTTATATCAAGTAAAACTTCTGAGATGTAAAGGGAGATGATTTGTCAATAGACCTCCAACTGGTAGCAAAAATGCTTATATAGTTTAAAATAATGAAAACGACTTGTATATCATTATATGAATTTTATTTCTTTCATTTATATCTTTCATTTATATTTTCTCATCTTATTCTCATTATAACCTTTATAAGTTAGGATTTTAGAAAAAGTAAGTGATTTGCCTAAGTTACTCACCTACTAAATAGCAGAGGTGAGATGAAAATCAAGCATTTTCATTCGTAAGTCTTTATTTTTAATTTTTATTATTTTTTTATGACACATTAGCTAACATTTATTCTCTATTTGGATTTCCTTGGTTTTTCCCTAAAGTATTTTTTAAAATATATTTTATTGATTATGCTACCACAGTTGTCCCATTTTTTTCTCCCCTTTAGTCCCCTCTACCCTACACCCCCCCTACCCTGCATTCCACCCCTTAGTTTATGTCCATAGGTCATACATATAAGTGCTTTGGTTTCTCTACTTCCTATACTACTCTTAACCTCCCGCTGCCTATTTTGGACCTACTATTTATGCTGTTTATTCCCTGTACCCTTTCCCCCATTCTTCCCCATCCCCTGTGTTTTACTGTTCATAGTTTTTTATCTTCTTTTTCTTAGATAAGCCCTTTTAACACTGCATATAATCAGGGATGATGATGAACTCCTTTCACTTGACCTTATCTGGAAAGCACTTTATCTGCCCTACCATTCTAAATGATAGCTTTGCAGGATAGAGGAATCTTGGATATAGGTCTTTGCTTTTCATGACTTTGAAAACTTCTTGCCAGCTCCTTTTTGCCTGCAAGATTTCTTTTGAGAAATCAGCTGATAGTCTTTGGGAACTCCTTTGTTGGTAACTGTCTCCTTTTCTCTTGCTGCTTTTAAGATTCTCTCCTTATCTTTAACCTTGGGTAATGTAATTATGAGGTGCCTTGGTGTGTGCGTCCTTGGGTCCAACTTCTTTGAGACTCTTTGAGCTTCCTGGATCTCCTGGAAGTCTATTTCCTTGGCCATATTGGAGAAGTTCTTGTCTCCTTCATTATTTTTTCAAATAAGCTTTTAATTTCTTGCTCTTCCTCTTCTCTTCTGGCACCCCTATAATTCGGATGTTGGAGCGTTTAAAATTTTCCTAGAGGTTCCTAAGCCTCTCCTCATTTTTTTGAATTCTTGTTTCTTGATTCCATTCTGGTTGAATGTTTATCTTTTCCTTCTGCTCCAGATTGTTGGTTTGAGTCCTGGCTTTCTTCCCTTTACTGTTGGTTCCCTGTATATTTTTCCTTATTTCACTTTACATAGCCTTCACTTTTTCCTCCATTTTGCAACCATATTTAACCAAATTTAGTGAGCATCCACATTACCAGTGTTTTGAACTGTACATCTGATAGGTTGGCTATCTGTTCATCACTTAGTTCTGTTTTTGGAGCTTTGATCTGTTCTTTTATATGGGTCATATTTCTTTGTCTCGTGACTCCTGTTACATTGTAAGGGATGGAGCCTTAAATATTTGCCAGGGTGGGGCAACCTAGGTCACTGAGTTGTGATGCTGTCTGTGGGGGAGGGGTCCGAGAGGGAACAATACCACTTGCTCAGCTCTCGGAGGGCTTCCAGTCACTTCCCCTTCTACCCACAAGCAAATTGGGCCCTTCTGGTGCTGATTCCCAGGTGGGTGGGTTTGTGTATGCTCTAGGACCCTGTAGGCTCTCCAATGGACTCTCCTGTGAGGCTGGGAAGTTGTCCTGCTACGGTAACCCCCACAGGTTTTTACCTCCAGAGGGTTTAAAACTTTCTTTTCCTGTACTGAAACGATGAATTGTGCAGTCTGTCTTGCTCCCCAGTTGTTCTCCTGATTTATCCGCACGCAAATGTGGGACTGCCGGCTCTGGCAGCTGCTGCCGAGCCCACCCAGTCCTCCAGCTGCCACCTTCCTGCACGTCTTCTCTGCCCCTCCTGCCAGTCTGGATGAACATTTCTTCTTTAGCTCCTTGGTTGTCAGGCTTCCACACAGTTCCATTTTCTGGCAGTTCTGGTTATTTTTGTTTTTAAATTTGTTGTTATCCTTCTTTTGGTTGTGCAAAGAGGCAAAATGTATCTACCTATGCCTCCATCTTGGCCAGAAGTCATCTTTCTTTATGTTTTACATATTTGTAACCTCTTTATGCTAGTCTGCTAATAGGATTTTAATATTCAATGATAATCAATAGTTTTCCCTAGACAACTTTTAATACTTTAATAATTTGAAGTATATGAGGCAGCAGTGGAAATTAATGCTAGAAAGATCTGCTGACTCTAAAATCAAAGATATACTCATATATTTTAAAAATATAAATACTGCGCTTTTTTCCATTTTTTGGTTTTTTGGAATAATTTTTAATAATTACTGCTGACATACAATATTATATTAGTTTCAGGTGAACAGCATAGTGATTATACTTTTACATAACTTATGACATGATCACCCCAATAAATCTAGTACCCATCTGACACCATATGTAGTAATTACAATGTTACTGATTATATTCCCTATGCTTTACTGCATCTCCCTGTGACTATTTTGTAACTACTGGTTTGTACTTAATCCCTTCCCTTTTTTCACCCATTCCCCCCAAACCCTTCCCATCTGCAAACCATCAAAATGTTCTCTGTATCTATGAGTTTGTTTCTGATCTGCTTCTTTGTTTATTTTGGTTTTTAGATTACACATATGACTGAAATAATTTGGCATTTGTCTTTGACTGTCTGACTTATTTCACTCAGCACAATGTTTTCCAGGTCCATCCATGTTATTGAGGATAGCAAGATTTCTTTTTTTTTTATGGCTGAGTCATATTCCATTTTATATATGTACCACTTCTTTTTATCTGTTCATCTATTGATGGACACTTAGGCTGCTTCTATATCTTGGCTATTGTAAATAGTTCTGCAATGAATATAAGGATGCATGTTTTTTTGAGTTAATGTTTTTTATTTCTTCAGATAAAAACCCAAAAGTAGAATTGCTGTGTCCTTCTTTGTCTCTTGTGATAGCCTTTGTTTAAAAATCTGTTTAGTCTGGGAAAAGTGTTGCTACTCCAGCCTTTTTAAAAAAATTTGTTTCCATTTTCATGGAAATAAGAGGATATTTACTTTCGGTCTATGTATATGTGTCTTTCGATCTGAAGTGAGTCTCTTGTAGACAGCATATGTAAGGGTCTAGTTTTGTTATTCAGCCACCATATATCTTTTGATAGGAGCACTTAATCCATTTGCATTTAAAGTAATTGTTGATAGATATGTGTTTATTGCCACTTTATTACTCAGTTTTTAATCTTCTTGAAGGTCCTTTAACACACTGGTTTGGTGGTGATGAATGTCCTTAGCTTTTTTCTTGTCTGGGAATCTCTTTTATCTGTCCTTCAATTCTGAATGCTGGATAGAGTAATCTCAGTTGTAGATCCTTGATTTTCATCACTTTGAATATTCTTGTGCTAATGCTGTCTGGCCTGCAAAGTCTCTGTTGAGAAATCAGCTGCCAGTCTTATGAGAGCCCACTTGTAGGTAACTAAATGCTTTTCTGTTGCTGCTTTTCAGAGTCTTTTTGTCTTTAACCTTTGGTGTTTTAATTATGATATGTCTAAGTGTGGGCTTAGTTTGTCTAAGTGGGCTTAGTGTGTCTAAGTTTGGGTTTATCTTGTTTGGGATTTTCTGCATTTCCTGGACTTGTATGTCTGTTTCCTTCAACAGGTTAAAGAAGTTTTCTGTCATTTTTTCAGATAGGTTTTCAGTTTCTTGCTCTCTTTCTTCTCACACTTGATGTTGTCCCTCAACATCAGAGGTCCCTCAAGCTATCTTTTTTTTTTTTTCAATTCTTTTTTCTTGTTGCTGTTCTGATTAGGTGTTCTCTGCTTCCATATCTTCCAAATCATTGATTTGATTTTCTGCTGCATCTACTCTAATGTTAATTATCTGTATCCTTCATTTCAGTTATTCCATTCTTCATTTCTAACTGGTTGTTTTTATATTTTCTTTTTCCATTTATATGTTTCCTATCTCTTTGTTGAAGTTCACACTAAGTCCATCTACTCTTCCTCTAAGTTCATTGAATATCCTTTCAACCAGTGTTTTGAATTCTGCATCTAGTAGGTCGCTTGTCTCCATTTTTTTTCGTTCTTTTTCTGGAGTTTTGTTCTATTTTTTTTTTCATTTGGGACATGTTTCTTTGTTTCCTCATTTTTGGCAGCCTCTCTGTGTTTTGTTTCTGTGTAATAGGAAGAATTGCTATGTCTCCCAGTTTTGGTAGAGTGATTTTATATGTTTGGTGTCCTGTGGGACCCAGTGGAGCTATCTCCCTGTCACCAGAGCCAGGTGATACATATGTGTCCTTTCTGTGGGTTTTGTGCCTT